AGTTAAGCCAAGAAATCCGTATATTGAGATGTTCTTTATTTATTTGTTTTACTTAAAGTGTGATTTTCGATGAGTTTCGCTTTGAAACATAGCGTTCAAACGATGGATGTTGAAGAGTGCGTGCTCTGTAGAGCAACGGGGTGTTATGCTTCAGCAACGCGGTTACATGCCAGTGCTCAATTGGGTTTAGAATTTGCTCTCCTAACCTAGTGTAGTCCGTGACTAGATAAAATGCTGATCGTTACCAGATTTTGTGCGATTACCAGTTTGTTGAGGGTTATTTTGAACCATATTAACAATGTACTCTTGCAAGACGCTTGATATGATCGATCGCGCGCTGGGCTGCACAGTTCCACAAACCGGCGAATTTTAAAAGCGGCCCTTTGGCCTTTCCGAGGTACCGCCTTTTGCCTGTCATTGATAATTTATCTTCGTTTTGTTCGATTCGAGTCAGTAAAACTGAAAATTTGTAATCGTCCTCAGCGCCAAGTTCCCTAACAACATGACGGTTCTTTGAAATTGTCCAAGCTGATCGGCGACATCGAATAAAGTACACAACTTTACGAACACAAACCGTGGTTTTGAGGCGAAAAATAATACCTTCCTCTACCTTGTATTGGTTCACAATAAATAGATTTTCTCGATCTTTGCTCCGCCCTAAGGTCGGCTCTTTGGATAATCGTTTTACGAAACACACTTTGTAAATTTTATTGAATTGTTTTATAGTCGCCTGAAAGTTATTTCTACTTTTATAAGTTTCCTTGCTACGCATTGGAGCTCAGCAAACTGTATTTCTGTAGTTACTTTCGAGGAAAACATCAGATTATAATTTGATGGCATGCTTTCTTTAGAGGAATTTTGAAAATAACTGAAAGCTAAATTTAGTATTGAGGGGTCAATTCAGGCCCCATCCAAACTAGGACGGAGAGATTTGAAAATGGGGTTTGCACTCTGAAAACACATCAAATGCTTTTCATCCACACTATGCTGGAGAAGTTGAAAATGCAACAATCACTGGTCATTTTGAATTTAATTTGTGTCTGAGGATAAAACTTGTGCAGGAAATCTCATGATTATCGTGTTGTTATCATTTTTTGGAAAGCACCATTTTCAAAGTGTTTTCCATCCACACTAAAACTCAAGGTCAAGGTTTTCAAATTCCTCTGGTTTTAGGAGTGTTTTCTAAAAGTTCTGTTCTCGTGACGGATTAGTGTGGACAGGCCGTTATTGTGGACAGTAGGCCTTACTATAGAAATAAAGCTATGTTTTCAAGTTTCACTGGTGTAGTGTGGACAGAGCCTCAGTGTCTTAAAACCAAAACCAAAGTTATCTCTCTGACCAGTGACAGAAAACAGAAACAATTCAATGAACCACTCTTAATTCAAGGTGAATACATGTAGCTGAATGTGCAAGCGAGTCACTCTTGTTTTGTTTTCATTTCTGATTGGATGACAAAGTTGCACATGTCTTTTTCTAACTCAATCATGTAGTGTAGTAATGCACAACCAATTACTTTTCGACACTCAAGCAAAATCTGCTGTGCTATTCACCTTGGCTGTTTGCGACTTTAATTTTTTTATTTTTGCTGGAAAATGGCTTTTTTTTCTGATGAGAAAGTGAACAGTCACAAAAGATGGATTTTTTTGTGTGGCAAGATAACCAGTTTCGTGGAAGTTGTTACTGGTAGTAGTAGCTGTGTTGTTATGGGCGCAGTTTGAACAACATTAAGAAAGGTGAGTGTGTGGTTCAGTTTATTGTAATATATTTTACATTTAGATTGAATGCCTCTCTTGAATATTGTTGTAAACCAAGCATTGGTGAATTTTTCTAACTCTTGATTTGTTGACTCTTGTCATACTTTATCACCTGTAGCCATAATTAACAAAGTTGTCAGAATCTATTACCTATCGGCAGTATTCCCTGTTGTTTAGTGTAGCGTAGACGTTTATAGTACAGTGAAAACTCGCTATCTCTATCTCTAAGCAGGGCTTGGAAAAAAGTGCCATCGAGTCATCCAGGACAAGTAGATTTTCCTGCCGGGCAAGTGACTTTTCATTCTCACTTGCCCAGTGTGCAAGGCCCAGGCAAATCGTCTTACAACTTAATAAAAAAAGTAAACTAAGACTTGCCAGTGGCAAGCAAACTTTGAGAGCTGCTTGTCTGAAGGGCAAGTTAGAATCAAAGTGTTTTTTAGCCCTGTTTAAGAGAAGGAAAAATAATTTGAAATGTGGGGGGAGGGGGTCAAGATAGCCAACAGTAAGTGAGTGGAAAATTACATTTAAAGGAAAATGATTCGCGTTTGAGATAGCAGAGAGTTGGAGACAACCTGTTTTGAGATGGTGAGGTTTTACTGTAATATTATGCTGTTGCAGCCAGGAGTTTTTTAAGTGTGTTATGGTGTGGTGGAAGCAATTTGCATTCGGAACTGATTGTCCTCTGAAAGCTTTGGACTAACTTAAGTCTTAACACAGCACATGCAACAGAAATTGGTATACATGTGTTGATTTTTTCAGAGAAGTACTTACTTTATATGAAATTTTGAATGGAAACTCTTCAAAATTACTTGCTGAGAATTTTTCTGCCATTGTTTTCACAGAACTGTTCAGGCTAGTGGAATGTATTGGATCAATGCTATATGCAGTAAAACCACAATCACTCCGAAAACCACAAGAGAGCCTGTTTAGATCCATTTTATAGATCAGTTTAGTTCTTCAGGGGAAGGAGTCGCAGTTGATAATGGTTCAGTTTTTATCCTAACTGACACTTTGTAAGAATGTTGAAAGCAAGCTGTAAAATATGCCTACATAAGCTGCAACATTAAGGGAATTTCTTACAGTTTTTAGAGTGCACAATTCCGAAGAAAACAACAGCAATAAGTGAAAACATCTCATTAGTTCGTGAAATTTGAAAAGCATTTAAAAACTTTTGAGAATTTTATCGTCCTTTGGAAGGATTATTTCACTCATTACACAAAGATCGAGAAAAAGGCCAGCTTTAAAAAGTCCTGAACTTTGTGCACATTAACATGTACATACTCTTTATATGTCGGTGGTGTTCTTCTATTTGTAAGCTTGGCAGAAATCACAGAATTAGACCATAAACTCAAAGAAAATCTCTTGCTTTTCACAGAAATTAATTTTGTTTAATACAAAGAACACATTGCATTATATGAACTTTTTTATTAGTCTATCACCAGCAATTAACTAATCTAGCATGTTTGATTGAAACTCTTTGCTGAAATGGATGTAGAAGATTTTTGTATTTGCCAAAAATAAAATTACAATTCACTGAAGTAGTCCAGTGTTATTTTAAACAATTTTCCTTGCTTAACATCTTGTTTGTAGCAAGTAACAGTGGAAAAACTGAACCATGTACTGGAACTTGTTGTTTTCTTTTTTTGAGTGTTTTCAAGAAATTTTAATTTTCTTTGTTTTCTTTCCATGCTGCTTGTTTAGTTTCTTAATTCCAGTTCAGTCCTTAGACATAAACATGAATTTTCATTCCACCCTACAGATTCAATATCCAACATGACAGCCCTAAGGAAAAAGCTGGTCATTGTAGGTGATGGTGCCTGTGGAAAAACTTGCCTTCTCATCGTGTTCTCCAAAGATCAGTTTCCTGAAGTCTATGTGCCCACAGTTTTTGAGAATTACGTGGCCGACATTGAAGTCGATGACAAGACGGTAGAGCTAGCATTATGGGATACAGCAGGACAAGAAGATTATGACAGGCTACGACCTCTCTCCTATCCTGACACTGATGTTATTCTGATGTGCTTCTCCATTGATAGTCCTGACAGTTTAGAGAACATCCCTGAAAAATGGACTCCTGAAGTCAGGCATTTCTGCCCTAGTGTACCAATCATTTTGGTTGGTAACAAGAAAGATCTGAGAAATGATGAAAATGTAAAGAGAGAGTTAGCAAAGATGAAACAAGAGCCTGTTAAATATGAGGAGGGAACTTTAATGTGTGAAAAGATCGATGGTGCTGCTTATTTGGAATGCTCTGCAAAGACAAAGGAGGGAGTGCGAGAGGTATTTATAAAAGCTACAAGAGCAGCTCTTCATAAAAAGAAGGCCAGAAAGAAGGGAAAATGTCATATACTGTAAAATATTTGAACTTGTTCCACAATGTACTTTGCTCTAATAAGAGATACCTACTGACTAATGTGAAAATAAAACCACCCATTGTTTTCAGCTTGCGGGTGAATCAGTCTGTTATGACAGAGAATTTCTTTCTTAAAAAAAAAGAGAGTTCCATAGTCACCATTTATTAATTTGAATCATTAGTATTGTTACATGGCAATACACTGCCCAGCTAGTGTGGCGTATTTCCAATGATGAAGTTATGCATTCCTGTTATTCTGTTGGCGGCTAGGCAGCAGCTTTATTGTCACTGCGGATGCATAGCTGGGTGTGGGCAGGTAATACATTCATTATTTACTGAGCGTTTTCATAGGTGCCTCATACTAGCTGTGTCCTCATCACATAAAATTTCAGAATAAGGTCCTGGANTTTTTTTCTTAGCGCTTTATGTATGTACCCAAGAGTCAACTCAAACTGTCAGGACTATCATAAATCCAGGCTTGCTTGAATAACATGTAAAGAATAAGTGAGAGATCAATGCAGTCATCTAGTAGCTAGATAAAATCATCTAGTCATGTAGTTACTTATCATAAATGATAAGTATTAAATCAAATTTAAATGCAGTTTTGGACGATTCTTGTGGAATGTCTTTATGATAATTATGCTAATCAATTATGCTAATTAATGTCCAGACAAATTGACAAGATGTCTGACCAAAATGAAGAATTTTGAAAGGAGACAGGTCCTCTTAAAGAAGAAAAATTATTTCCAGCACTACAGTCTGTGTGATTCTAATGCCAGCATCTTGGTTGGTTGGGGGAATGACTTAAGTGTGTTACTAAAAGAAACTAATGGAAACTGTGTACTGCAACTCAGGGATTTTAAATTGAAACGAAGGAGCAGAAGGAAACCATAAAGTAGGCAGAGCTCTATTGGGTCATGATAAATGAGACTGTGTGAGGAAGAGTGCTGTGGTGGGTTGTCCCCACCTGCATGGGGGATGGGTTGTCGTCCCTGGAAAATTTTGACAATACGGGTACAGTGAGGTGCATTGTAGTGCATTTTTAGCACCCAAAGGTGATTTTGTTGGAGGCCATGCCACCTTGCACGTTATTTTAACAAGAGTTCAGAAAAGGCAGCATTGTCTGTTGCCTCCACTTCATCATAGAAAATGTGTGCGTTCAGACAAACCTGATATAGGTATGTTTAATGATGGCAGAATGCCTCCCAAAAATTGCTGTTGCTTTGAAGTTCCAAAGGTTCAAAGAATAGACACACTGCCAACTTTTTTACCTGTTCAGTTGTTTCCTCAGAAGGATCAGATCATGATTACCTTGGTGAAACAAAACAGCATATTAATAAACTTTGAGACGAACAAAATAACCACCACAAATGCTTGAAATAGCCGGTGACTTGCACCAGGTGCTGGCTTATTTTGAAAACCCTGCTTCTTGGGCTTGGACTGTTTAGTTTTTCGGCTGCATAGCATTCAGCTGATTCATGCATAGTGAAGCATTTTGTCTGAAGTGCTGAAACTGCTGAATTAGATGTTAGAAGCAGTATAGCTAAATAGTTATTGAATTAAAAGTTAAGTGTTTGATTTATTTTGCAGATTGTGGGTTACGACATGACAGCTATTAGGAAAAAGCTGGTTATCGTGGGTGATGGTGCCTGTGGAAAAACATGCCTTCTCATCGTGTTCTCCAAAGATCAGTTTCCTGAAGTTTATGTGCCCACAGTTTTTGAGAATTATGTGGCCGACATAGAAGTCGAAGGCAAGACGGTAGAGCTAGCATTATGGGATACAGCAGGACAAGAAGATTACGACAGGCTACGACCTCTCTCCTATCCCGACACTGATGTTATTCTGATGTGCTTCTCCATTGATAGTCCTGACAGTTTAGAGAACATCCCTGAAAAATGGACTCCGGAAGTTAAGCATTTCTGCCCAAATGTACCGATCATTTTGGTTGGTAACAAGAAAGATCTGAGAAATGATGAAAACACAAAGAGAGAGTTAATAAAGATGAAGCAAGAGCCTGTTAAGTTTGAAGAAGCCAAGTCAATTTGTGAAAAGATCAATGGCTATGATTATTTGGAATGCTCTGCTAAAACAAAGGAAGGCGTAAGAGATGTATTTAAAACAGCCACAACAGCTGCACTTCAGACCAAGAAACGGAAAAAGAAGAAGGGATGCAGTATATTGTAAAATGGTTGAACTTGTTCTGCAGAACTTTGCTTTAAATAATGTGATATGCTAGAGCTCACTAACTTACATGGAAGGAACTTCTCCCACTCTGTTTGGGGTGGGCCAATCCGATGTAAAAGAGAACTTCTTTCTGAAACAGAAAGGAGATGTCCGTAGTAATCATTTATTAATTTGAATTATTAGTATTGTTACATAACCATGCACTGGTCTACCTGTATGGCATATTCTGATGGTGAGATTGCATATCATTGTATTTCTATTCGCTGTGAGGCAGCAGGTTTCATTGTAAGTTAGGATACATAGCCAGGTGTGGTGATGCAATGATGTTTATTAATTGACAAGTGTATAAAAAAAA